TACTGTAGACAAGTGATAAAAAAAAAAAAAAAAAAAAAAAAAAATGGTGTAAAATGAACAAAAAGTAGAAAAAATTATTAAAAAAAAAAAAAGGATGAAGGATGAAAAAAAAATTGATATTCTTTGAAATAGATAGGTATGTAGGGTAATCTTGGAGATATGAAGGTCAAAATGAATGGAATGGCAACCTTTAAAGTTTAATGATTATCTATGAAGGGTAAAAGATCAAATAGTTACCTAGTGATATTGGGGGCGAGTATCAATACAATGTGTCTTTTATTTAGATCATACAAAAAAAAACCCAACTAAAAATACAGTGTGAATTAATTATCTCTAAAGTGTTATGGATTTTGTTCTTCTTTTTGCTTTACTTGTGTAGCCAGCACCCAATGTGACTAGGGCAGAGCAAGGTCTGATAGTTCCGTGGTCCGTGCACCGAGTTCGCTATTCGGCCAGTACCAATTTTGGAATTTTTTTTCTCTAACACTTAAATACATGTGAACTTTTTTCAATGATCAAGTGGGAGAGTTTTCAGTAAGTTCTGACATCAAAAATAGGAAGATTTCTTTAACATATGAAAATACCCCTTACTTTAAGAAAAATCTTTGAAAATATGGCTGAAAAAAGTGGGAGTCTCCCGCCTAAAGTGGGAGAGTTCACATGTATGCACTTATATGAATTAAGTCTTGTCCAGCTTTAAAGAATGACTTGAAAATATTTAAAATCGGTAAAGGTTAAAGTGAAGAAATTAGATTTTTAATAGCGATTCAAGTGTTTAACCACTTTCAGTAAGTCAGATAAGTGAAAAGTGTTTAAAGTATCACTTTTTGCATGTTTAAATCATTGACCGAAATATGGATAAGGTGACTCGGTCCACACATACATTGTAATACGTGACATTGAAAATGAAATAAAAACCGAGAAATCATTGTGCGTGCATATTCGTTACTTTTGTAATCAGATCTAGGACAGAAAAAAAAACAACGTTATGATAAAGCTTTTGATATCTTCTTTATAGATAGAGAGATAAATACAGTTATTGTTACAATGCGAACTCCAGGCCGTAAAATGAAGAGAGAAAAAAAAAAATGTTTCACACTCCTGTTTTTTGCCTCCCCCACTGGAGCCCCGATATTTTTTCCCCCCACCAGGTCAAGAAAACTAGAGTTAGAGCTATAGAGTTAAGATGTTGGTAGTAATTACTGGCCAGCAACACACACCATCCTTGTTATAAGGTGAATTATATCCACTCAATATGACCTGGTTTAAACCAGATCCATTCAAGATTTGTGTGTCTTTTAAAACCTAAAGGCTTGATAATGTGAGATGCTTGTTTATAGAGTTATTGGCTTTTCTAGATTTATGTTAACTTTTTCTCCCTATGCAAGTTAAGCGTATAAAACATTAAGGTTAAAAATAGAAACATGGCTGCCATTTTGTATAGCTATTGAGCGTGACCTGGTCATTTCAGGTCAGGTGGGCTAAAGTCATTTCTGTGTTTTGATTGGTTAAAAATAAGTTATAAATAGAGTTATCAGTTGCTGGATGACCGATCCCAAATAACTGTTTCTACTAGGGTTGATTATTAACATAAATCGTGTGTTAGAGGCACGCAATAGGGTTGAATTGTTTATCAATATAAAAACACACGATGTTATAGTGACATTGGGCCTTGACCGAGAAATTCCAATAATGTTTTTATGTGTACATTGTGTACACATCTAGTGTTGTAATATAAAAATCCTTGGTTAATGTGAAAATGTTTGGTTAAAGGTTTAAAAATCTATAGTAAACAAAAGTGGTGTAGTACTTAAGTTAAAAAAAAAGTGAATATGTGAGTGGGTTTGAATTATTGTATTATACTAGAGGCGGTGTATAAATGCTGTAAACTGTGTTGTTTTTTTTTTCCTCTCCGTGATCATCTATGTTTGTTTTTTTTTCCCTTAATTATCCATGCCTACCAGTGCTGACCAAGATCAGCAGGCCTTTCTGTGTTGTGTGATCAGGATCTGCCCTGCATAATTGATAGCTTTTAAAATTGAGTCCGGTAAACAAAACATGTAGAAAATTTCCCTAAAAATGATGCAGATTAAAATATAGACAAGTCCATTTAAGATATTGAGCAGTATGTTATGTATCTAGGAATAAATTTCTCATAACCAGTTATATTATGAAAATTTATCATATTTATTAATAAATACTTGTTTTAATTTGACATTATGAGGAAAATTTAATGTATTCAAAGTATAAAAGTGCCAGGGCTTTCCTTTAAAGGAACTGAACTAAGGTTTAAAAGCCTAAAAATTTAATATTTGAATACCCTACATAGATCAACTTGGGTGCTTTAAACAAAATATATATAAAAGATAGGACTTCAGAAATAAATTTAAAATTACATTTTTGTGCTGTTCTTAGGCCAATTTGAGTGAAAAGTGTTGAATTTTTGGTCATTTTCCGCTATTTGAATTATCATTCAGGAAAAATGGATTGAGCGAAAGATATGAAATTTTACAGACATCCAAGTTACTGGTCTAGACCTACATTAAATGGAACAGTAATCTCTAAAAATTATTACTTGTCCCATCACGGCTTGAATCTTAATACACTTGGGGTCCATGGACCTCTTATTTGAGATTTTATGAGTCAGTTTAAGTTTTTAGATTTTATTTTCCTGGTTTAGCAACTGAAATCAGTAAAACTGTTAATACACCACACCAAATTTGAGCAGGGTGGGCAAAATCTGATTTCAATTTACTTTGTCCGTTTTTATCTGAAGAATTTCATAACTTGTCCGTATGATATCTATACAGTAAAATCTTGAAAATTGTCCACTTGTCCATAGTGGCTGCGGTACAACCTGGCCAACATGGACAATTGATTTAGCTGCCTCAGTGTTTGAGAAGTCTGACCAGGCTCCGTTGGTTGGCTGTCTCAATTTTATTTTTGTTTTCAAATGGAAAACCCTTAAACTTTGAATGGACTGTTCCATATTCAGGGCAGGGCAAATCCATTTACACAAATTCAGCAGTATTGAATTTCAGTGTAGTGAGAGAAGCTAGGGCCGATAGTAAGAGAAAGAGAAAAACATCCTAAAATACAATAGCTTAATTAGATAATTCTGTGTGAACTGTCGTTAATAGTAAATCATGAAGTAGGGAGAATGGTTGTGTAAATGAGAAAATTAAAAGGGAAAACAAGTGCAAGATTTTCCTATTCCTGCGTAAGACAGAAACTCAGAAACGCACTGTATTCCATTTTGCCTGCTTTGCTGTTGAAAGAAATAATCAATTTATGGAAAATAGGTTACTCTCTTTATTTTGTAGGATGATGTTGTTGTTTTTTTCCCCCTGCTGTAAATATTATTCTTGTATTATAATGACATTCATCGTCAATGTTGGTTTTACATTAAATACATTATAAATAAATTACTGGGTAAGAAACTACTGTGATAATAGTCACAAATATTGTGTTTTTATACTTGTGTTTTGACAAAAAGACGTGACATGCCACCTTACTTGTAGTGAGTTCTAACACAATTATTAATGACATTCTGGCTAGCACCTACGGTATTCACCCTTGCTCAGCTTAATAGGCACAGCATTGGATATGTAATCTAGGGGTCACAGGTCTGATCCTTGAGAGAGGCGAAATTTTTTTTCTGTGACTGTTGATCCTGAACATTAAGTGGTAATATGGTCATTTGTCTGTCATTGCTGATTAAAGATATCTTGGGATATATTAGTAGTGGTTAACTTGCTCGGAATATGGTAAATAACTGGTTAGTTATCCAGGAAAGCCTGTTAGATGGACTCCTTGCAAAGATATGAGCAAAAAAGGTGTTAAAATGATAAATCAACATAAAAAGTAGAAAATCTTAATCAAAATCTATATAATTATAACCCTCCAAAATATGAAATGACCCATCCTCATTGAACTATGATGAAAGTTGTGTGCCCCTCGATCCCTGTATAATTTCGAGTCTTTGTGGCCCGTATTTTCTGACCCGTAGCCATTCTAATAAAGCCTGTTTAGGACAGATTTGACTTATGGGATAAAGAATGTTTTTATCTGGGTAAGATTCAACACCCAGTACTGTTCAGTTACAAGTGAAGACTGTTACAATATATAGTAAACTTTGATCACAGAAATAACTTAAGTGGTTAAAATTTATAATGTAGTTTATATATTTGACCCTAGTTTAACTTTACTAGGTGAAAATGCTTCCTTGTTAGATGTAGATGGTAACATCCTTGTTCAATAAGAAAAAAAAAACCCAATATTTTACCACATGCAAGATGTTTAATTTTATACGATTATATGTCTAGAAAATGTTTTCATTCTCCATCTAAAAAAATTTCACCATTACTTTGTTATGTACCTGGTCGTCCGTCTGTCTTTTAGTAGTTTTTGTCTCTGGTCTATTATCCTTTGAACTGGTGGAAGGAAATTGAAACTTTTTGGCAAATAGTAATATATTATAAGGATCATTGTATAGACATGTTTCTTGATTGGGTCTTTTCACTACTGAAAGATTTTAATTACTCAAAAAACCCAAAAAACAACAACAAAAAAAAAACAAAAAAAAACAAAAACAAAACATTTGGGCGTATATTGCACAGCCTTTGCTGTGCTTTTGTTTGAATAATAATTATATTGCTAGCAAGATTTTTATTCAATAATTCTTTAAAATTAAGCTAGATCTACTTCCAAGGTTGCCATGATAATATATATGGTATTTTACTGTGAGTGTGAGCTTAGAGAGGTAATTATGATTTCCTCTTTGTGAATGCACTTAATCAATTACCCTTTTTTTTGGAAGAGTCCAATATCAGTTTTTGGAAGAGTCCAATATCAGTTTTTGGAAGAGTCCAATATCAGTTTTTGGAACAGTCCAATATCAGTTTTTGGAACAGTCCAATATCATTTTTGGGACAACAGGAAAAAAAAATTCATTCTTGTTGCTATAACAGTTGTAAAATAAATGTATTTTTATGTTTCAGGGATGGAGAAGAAGTTCATTATAGAGCCTCAGCCACAGACCGTGCCTATTGGCGGTGTAGCCAGGTTCCAGTGCCAAATTCAGGCCATTCCACCGGCCATGTACGAATGGCAGCGCGATAAAACTGTTCTACCTCAAAATGATAGGTACGTTCATTATAAATTATATACTTTTATGTATGTGTATTGGTCTACTTTAATAGGCAAAATTGATAGATATGTAAATTATATGTATTGGGTATTCTCGGGCAAAATTAAAATTATATACTTATAGGTATGAGGTATTTTTGTGCAAAATGTATAAGGTATTCTCGGACCAGGGTTCATGGGGCGGGGGGGGGGGGGGGGAGAGTAGGAAGGGGGTTTCGCATGATTTTCTAACATTTTTCATTCAATGAAGAATTTCAACAGAAGAAAATTATGTACATTGTATTTGTAAAATATGGCAGAATGATAACTGCACTTTCCTATTTTAATTCCAATTGTTATTATAGCGCTTATTTTATTTATGACTCTTGTTATGTCTTGTATTAAATCTTTAAGTCATTGATATTTTAGGTTTATTTCTCTGTGACTGTGATATATTTTATTGTACTAGGAAATATTAACCTATGGTTTAGTAATGAATGATTTATGAATAAAAAGCCGGAGGTGGGGGGGGGGTTTAAAATGGTGAAGCTTTGAGGTTTAGATAACGATTTATATTGTGTCAAAACAAATGGTCGTAAAGAGCTCTTCAGAATGATTTAAGTGTCGGATTAGGTAACACTTGTTGTAACAAAGATTTAGATCTATGCTCGGCTCGGATTGTAAATTCCGACCTTAACCCTTAATAGTCTAAATATTAGAAATGGACTTGTCCATCTTTTCATCTGGTCATAACCATTCATCAGTAAAAGGGGAAAATTTGAAAGTATTTACTGAATGAATAACATGCAGTGTATTAGATCCTCTCTCTGGTAGGCTGCAATGCTAATGTGGCCATACTCAAGGTCAAGGTTACTTTGACCTAAAAACAGTCTACTGCATTTATATATGTATTTCATAATTCATCATTTATATATGCATAATTATGTCTGAATTTCATAATTCAGCAGTTATATAATATTATGCATAATTACTTAGAAATTTCATACCTCAGTATTTGTATACGCTTAAATATATGTACTTCTGAATTTCATATAAATTCAGCTTCATATATGCATAAATACTTCTGACTTTCATTATTCAGAATTTATATAATTACTTCTGAATTTCATATCATATTTCAGCATATATATAAAATGCATAATTACTTCTGAATTTCATTTCATAATTCAGCATTTATATGTGCAGAATTACTTCTGAATTTCATAATTCAGAATTTACATAATTACTTCTGAATTTCATAATTCAGCATTTATATTTAGTAATAATACATGATTACTTCTGAATTTCAGGTATTTAGTATTAAACTCAGGTATATTACAAATCACGGGTGTCATAGAAACAGATGCGGGTGTCTATAGATGTTACGCTACTCAGGGTCTACTGCACGAATTACCAGGTCATGATATTGATGTCAAATACAGCGAAGAAGCGGAATTAACAGTCGTACCGGGTATGTATCATTTCTAGGGTCGCAATTTGTATTGCTATATATTATAAGTTATAAAGATCTATGACAGGTGACATGGCCCTATATAAACAGTTGTATGTATATAGATAACCTGAGTCATATTGGGTCTAAGGTCGCAACTGGTATTGCTATATAAGTTATAGGGCTGGGGCGAGTATCCCAGGGTTCTCGGGGACGCTTATTTCGGCGTCCGGGTACGCATGTTTATTACAGCTGGACGCAAATATTTCAGAGCAAGGATTCCACGTATGCTTAATTTTGCCTGGGGACGCATAAACATTACCGATTGTTTACAACCACAAATACACAATACGTCAGCGCGTGTCAGTCTATAGGTAGGCGGTCCTATGCACATCGACCCGTGAAGCGATTAGCCAATCAGCGATAATGATTCCGATCATTATCACGCAATAGTGATCAGACAAATGTATACACATGTAATTACCAGATATAACACGAGGTGATAATTTTATATCTTTGATCAACAGTTGATTGGAAATTAGCAAATTTTACCGACAAAAGGATAAAATTGTCGACTATTTACGCCGCAAGTTTAAAGACTGTTTTCTCAAATGACAAATGAGTGTAATTTTGAATGATTGTCGAATATTTTCGGCATTTTCTAGACACAATTTTGCTTTAGTTTCATTTTGCAAAAACTTTCTATACAGTAAGAGTATTATGAATTTAAGATATTGTGCCGAAATGCCAGGACAACAAACCAAAATTCACATACGCTTTTATTCTATCCGAAAATTGATCCCGAACATCGGCAATTTCACGTTCACCAGAAACCCTAAAATTTCGCAAAAATTCTCAGTTTCCAAGCCAAACATGCGAATGAATTGTTCCTTTATTATCTAATCAACATTAAATCTTTAAATATCGATCTTCAATTTGCCCCCTTTTGAAGATATTTTCCAAAATAATTGTCGATCGGATGAATCTCTTACACACTGTGTGAAGTTGTACACGATTTTCCTATTCATTCCGCTAAACGCCGCCTATATACATTTACATTTTTTTTTACAAAAATAAACTTTTTGTTTTTAGAGTGGACTTATTTAACCAGAATAAAATTTGATTTGGTACAAAAGTGAAAAAAAAAAAAAACGATTTCCATTTGTTGATGCATTATAATGAAATAATTTCATGATAAATATTAACAACAAAACAATAATTATACTATGTAGTTCAGAGTTTCTTTTGAATAACTATAAACTTTGGAAGTCTCTTGAAGATTCAAAATATCAGCAATGCTATTGTGAGCATTGAATGACTAATCTGTAAACATATTAATTGCGACGCGCTTTTGGACTCCAACTTTTTCAGGGTTGGGAGTCCATGGACTCCATGTTTTAAAGTCCTAGTGAGAACCCTGTATCCGAGTATTGGAAAATCACAAATTAAAGTGAAAAATCGAGTTTGAATATTCGTAAGCCCAGAGATCGTGGATCGCGATCTATTTTTTTTTAATACATTCACTGTTTCTCACACTCATAAAATCGAGAAAAATACGATTTGAGTATAAATTATATGAAGTTTACCTAAATACAACTTGCGGGTTATAGACCATGTACCATGATGCTGAGCTAGGAAGTAATTGGTTTAAAAAAAAAATACTCATCCAAAGAATAAAAACATAAACCTATGTTTTTATGGGTGTCTTAATAACAAAAGATTTGTGGTTCGATTTGTGAATCGTAAGTGCTGAATCCTGGTTCGGATCGGATCCACACCCCTAATAAGTTATAAAGATCGTGACAGGTTATATGGCCGTATGTCAAAGGTTGCTTGTAATTATATAACCCGAGTGGTACCGGGTATATGTTATTTCTAGGGTCGCAACTCGTATTGCTACATATTATAAAGATCGTGACAGGTTATATGGCCATATGTCAAAGGTTGTTTGTAATTATATAACCTAAGTGGTACCGGGTACGTGTTATTTCTAGGGTGGCAACTCGTATTGCTATATTGTATTAGTTATAAAGATCTTGACAGGTTATATGGAACTGCTTCCCCAAAGAAAAATTCTTTAAAATCATGCAGTTTTTCCCCAATAACTGAACTTACATCAAGTTTTTTCGTCCCCTTTTGCAACTATACCAAGTAATTTTTCCCCAAAATTAAGGGCAGGGCTGCTTCTCCAACCTGTAAAAAAATGCCCTGGAACTGGATTGAATGCAAATGTAAAGTGCTGCCACAAACTATGTGCAAGTGAATGATTGAAACCCTGTTTCGAAATAGGCTCAGTATAATAATAAAAAGCAAACAACAAAAGATTCAAACTATTTTTGTCTTTCGTTTCAGATCGTGTCGGCAAGGAGATCAAGATATTCTCAAGTACGAAGAATACGACAGTACTTGTAAGAAAACCGGCGCTTCTTGAATGCCTCGTTCAGGGTTATACTGGTAAAGTTGAATGGAGGAAGGGGGACAACAGTGAGTCCTTTTGTTATTATCTGAATAATGTTATTATATATATAGTGACGTAAAACAGTGTCACAGTGATATAAAACAGTGTCACAGTGACATAAAACAGTGTCACAGTGACATAAAAAAGGTGTCACAGTGATATAAAACAGTGTGACAAGTGATAATAAACAGTGTCACAGTGACATTGAACAGTGTCGTATAGTGACATAAAACAGTGTCACTGTGACATAAAACATTGTCACTGTGACATAAAACATTGTCACTGTGACATAAAACAGTGTCACTGTGACATAAAACAGTGTCACAGTTACATAAAACAGTGTCACAATGATGTAAAACAGTGTCATAGTGACAAAAAGCAGTGTCACAGTGATATAAAATAGTGTCAGTGACAAAAACAGTGTCACAGTTACATAAAACTGTGTCACGGTGAAATAAAATAGTGTCAGTGATGTTAAACAGTGTCACAGAAACATAAAACAGTGTCACAGTGACATTAAATAGTGTCAGTGATATAAAGCAGTGTCACAGTGACATATAACAGTGTCACAGTAACATTTAACAGTGACACAGTGACATAAAAATTCAAGTGATATTAAACAGTGTCACAGGTATAAAAGGTCATGTGAATTGAACAATGCACATGACTAAAAAAATTTTCACAGGGCATAAAACAGTTCAGTGATATGAGGCAGGTCACATAAATAACGTGTCACATTACATTTAAAAGTATTTTCAAAAGACAAAAAAAAAAGTGTTATGTTCAGTGACATAAAGTGCACAGTTTTAAGGAATGTCACAGTGAAAGAAAAAATTTTTAATATAAAAAAAAAAGA